CACACACATACGTTTATAAAACAAAATAAATGTGTTAAAATTTGTGTAACGTATTTATCAGTAAATGTGTATATAGCCTTTACCCAGGTTTTTGCCTGTTATTAATATTTTGCTCCATTTTTGATTTTTCTTTATATAGATGAATCTTTTTATTATGTCTGGTTCCTTTCATAGTTGAAAGGAAGTCAAGTTACAGAGAAGTCTGTTTATGTTTTCTTCTAGGACGTGTAGTTTGTAGTTTAGATTTCTGTTTCCTCGGAAGCTTTTTCTTTGTGTGTGTTACATGAATTCATCTTTTTTTTCCCCAATTGTTCAAGCACAATTTAATTAAATTTCTCACGGTCCAGTAATTTGCAATACCACCAACACACATACTAAATTTCTATATGTATTTGGGTCTATTTCAGTACTTCCAGTTCCACCCCAGTAGTAAGTCTGTTCATTAGGTACTTACTCACTCTTGATTATAGCGACTTCATAGTGTGTTTTAATTTCTGGTAGTAGTGTCTTCACTCATGGTTTTCTCTTTTCAGTGTTTCTAGCTATACTTGCATAGTTGTATTTCCATATAAACTTTTTAGCCTCTAGTTTAACTCCATAAAAAAAGTTTGTTGGTATTTTTATTGGAACTTTATTAAATTTATAAATGAGTTTGAACTATCACCTGAATAATGTTCACTTTGTGTCGTAGGAGTGCTTTATAATTTTTCTTCATATAGGTTTTGAATACTTCTTTGTGAACTTCTTCATTCTATTTTATCTTTGTGTTGCTACTATAAATGAGGTTTTCCTTCCATCATAACTTTTAATAATTATTATTTGTGTATATCAAAGTCACTGATTTTTGCATGTTTAATTTATGTCCTGCTACCTCGATGTATCATTTTATCAATGTACTGCTACAATGATAAATCGATAACTCTATTATCGGTTATCTAGGATTTTCCAGTAATGTAATCATATTATCTGAAAATTGAAGTTTTATTTTTTCTTTTACCATTATAACGTCTTTTTTTTCCCAATGTCAGATAGCATTGGCTAGTATTTTAGTAGGCATTATTGCTTAATTTTTGACTTTAGTGAGAATGCCTTTAGTATTTTTCCATTAAGTAAAAGGCTAGCTTTTGGAATTTCAAACATAGACCCAGCAGAACACACATACATGCATATACATGCCTACGTGTGCACAAAATATGCCTGCATGTATCTGTTATACATAACATGTTAAGATACATATATTTATCTTACATAAACACTAATCTACCTCTTTATTTTCTCAAGAATTCTTTGACAATGGATAGTTTCATCGAAAATTTTTGTGTCTATGGAGAATATAATTTTTTGCCTTTAGACCTAGTAATACAGTGAATACAATTGAGAGTTTTCCTAGATATTATTTCCTATGAGAGAGAGCAATATTGAAAGATTGTGCAATATTGTAATATTAACTATTCTTGTATCTCTGATACAAACTCCATATGGACATGCATATTATTTTGTTCATCTGGTGTTTGAGTCTAATCACTAATAGTATATTAGGATATTTAAGTGAATATCTTAATATCTTTTTTTTTTAATAGTCCAGAGCTCTTTTATTTCTTTTTGCACACCTATCATGCCATGAATTCATAGGGAATAGGTTCTAGCAGCTCAGGCTCCTTCCCATTGGTTCTCACAAAGTGTGCTTCTCTAGGTGGAGCAGGCTGGCGCTTCAGCTGAACCCAAGTACCCTTCTCTTTGGCTTCCTTTTTCTTCTGATCATTTTCTTTCACATGTTTCAGGAAGCTATCTCGGCTCTTAGAGTGCTTAATGTGCTCAATACAAACATTAATTCTCTTTGCAAGAATCTTGCCCTTTACTTGCTTGTTTACAACAATGCCAACTGCGTGCTGGGTAACATTATAGACTCTTCTGGTTTTGCCATGGTAACATTTGTGGGGCATTCCTTTTTGAACGGTGTTCTTCCCCTTGATGTCAACAATATCACTTTCTTATAGATTCGCAAGTATGTGGCCAAAGGAACAACTCCATGTTTTCGAAAAGGCATAGAGAACATATAGCGGGTCCCTCTTCTCTTTCCCTTTGTGTTAGTCATTTTGGCGACTTACTGGAAGATGGCAGTTCCAGCCGAAAGGAAGGGAATATCTTAATATCTTATTGTTTCAATTTTTATCAAATTTAGGTATCAATGTAATACTTGTTTCATAAAAAGAATTTAGAAGTTCTAGTCTAATTTTTACACTCTAAAACTATGTAGTTTGGGATCACCTGTGCCAAAAGTTTGGTAAAATTCTCCTGTAAAAGTATTTGCTCCTGGTTTTGTTTTTTGGCTGTTTGCTTGGATTTTGTTGTTGTTGTTGGACAATTTCTTTTTATCTTTTTTTTTTTTTTGAGATAACATTGGTTCACAACACTGTATGTGATTCAGAGGCATAGAATCACATTTTCTCAGGTGCAAGTCACCATACCACACTTACCACCAAGGTACCCATCATCCATTGTGCTCCCTTTCGTGTTCCTCTTACCCCCTTTTGTAGCCTCAACTCCAATTTGATGATAACTTTATTCTTTTTATTAAAATTATTCTGTTTAAGCTGTCTATTTGCACTGAGGTTTTATAACTTTATTTTCCTAAGACATTATATCACCTAGGTTTTTAAATTTATTTGAATTTGTTTTATTTTTATTTCCACTACATTGTTACTCATTCCTCCTTGTCATTTCTTGTTTTGTTTTTATAAAAATTTATTTTTATTTATTTATGCATACAAGAACTGGGGTGTAGGCCAGAGGTCGGGTGGGGGGTGGTGAGAGGATTCACCAGAGACAGAGTGGGGAGCAGAACAGGCAGATCTACTGAAATACACTGCTGAGGGGAACAGCGGGCGAGACAGGAGAGGTCTGCTGTGCCATATGGATTAGCTCCCTGGCCAGGGATCAAACTCATGAGGCTTTGGCTGGTGATAGCTTGATAGTGCTGAGACTTTAACCCCTGCACCACCAGGGAGGCCCCATTTCTTGTTTTTTATACTTGTGTTTTCTTCCTTTATTTACCTTAAATAAATTAACCAGTGGATTAATTTTTCAAAGAATCAGAATTTTATTTTTTTAACCTATTTTTCTATTCATGTCACTGATTTCTGCTTATATCATTACCATTTCTTCCCTTGTGTTCTTTTGACTTATTTGGCTATTATTTCTTTGTTTGACTTAGGAATTTAATTCATTTATGTTCATTGTTTCATTTTTATTGATACAGATTTAAGACAAAGAATTTACTTTTATGCTACTTTAGAGATAGAATTCTAATGTATAGTATTTTCATTATCATCATCTTCTAGGGATTTTTAAGTTTATTTGTAGTTTTCCTTTCATCCTATTAATTATGTAATAGGTTTTTAAATCTTTATGCAGAGGGTCTTTTCGTTTTCTAATTTTGTTTTTAATTCTATTTGAGATTGATATCAAAATGTTATTTTTAATATTTATACTTCATGGAATTTGTTTTCTTTGTGCTCTAAATTTCTTTTTTGGTGAAACCTCCACCTGCTTTTGAAATGCAGGTATAGTTTCTAATATCAGGATGATTTACATCTCTATATATATCTATACCTATATATGTACTTCATTTTATATATAGCTCTTTTTAGTATTTTCTGAGCTATCCTTCATGTATCTGTATATGTATAGATATAAAACTCCAGTTTTTCCTCATTGATTGTATAGCAAATACAATGAATTAGTGACAATTTAAGTGAAACTCATCCACACAATTGTGAACAAAAAAGGCAGTCACTATCAGTAATAGGTTAGTGAAACTCCATTCTCCCCGTTAGAATATGTTGGGGATTTGATGGCAGCTGAAGTTGCCAAGTCCTTTTGGACCTCCTAAAGATGGCCAGTCATTGTGATAGGAAATGTCCATCGATGTAGCCAAAAAATAAGTTTGCCTAGATTTCAGACATAACTCTTCAATTGGACAATAGATATAACCTTGTAAGTGGTTATATTATGTGCTTTTGCGGCAATACACACACAGTGGTTTTAACTGCTATTACTGAATGTATTGTGGGAACAGATCTTTTAAGATCCCAGTGAAATACACACTTTAGACAGCAGGAGTTCTTAATTCCACAGGACATCTCTTATTTGGTTAGAATGCTTAGTTATGAGGATTGGGTAAGGGGAAAAGACTTAGACTGAGTGACATATAATACATAATTACCCCTTTTCACTTTTCTTCTATCCCTCCCATATCTTTCTCTGGAAAACCAGTATTTACAAGTGCAAAAAAAAAAAAAAAAAAAAAAAAAAAAGAGTGGGGCAGAAGACTGGAAGACTAACGCAGGACTTCTTTTACAGTCCAATTATGCCCGCTGGATCTGAAGGTAGAGTATCAATAACAATACCGATCATGAATGTAACAACTGTCATGTCATCTTGGCATGACTACCAAGCACTTGATACACCTTGGCTCACAAATCAGGGAATGAGAATGTTCTAGAATGGTATAGTATATAAAAGAAACCTCTATCTAGGGATGAATCTGCCCAGATGGCATTGATGAGACATGGTGAGGAATAGAAAAAAAGATGAAGGATTTACTTCAGGGATTTACCACACCATTTATATCGCATGGAAAGAGGACAACCCTGATGGGGAAAGAAGCCCTCACACCCTGGGAGGTTAGAGGTAAAGGAGGGACGACTAACCTTTCTTGGATTAAATATTTCTGGAATGATGCACAGGAAGAGAATAAAGACAGGAAAGTTTTTTTTTTTTTTTTTTCTTGTAGTTGTAGAATTTTGAACCATGTGATTATTGCACATTTGAAAAAAAACTAAAATTTTAAAATTAAAACATCAAACCTAAATCTGGCACTAAAATTTAGAAATTAGAATTCCCAGTCATACAGCTAGGGAGCCCTTTGGTGAGTATTTAGAATATAAAAACACATACGCAAAAAGTTTTCTTTTAACAGTGATATACATTAATTTATATAATTTTCTAGTATGAAATATTTTTAGGAATGTATATATACAAGAATAATGCAAGCTATTTAACTTTATTTTTATTTAACATGAAATTAAGAGACAAATATATTTTAATGTAACAAAAATTTATAATTGATGTTTACCATCTACATTTTAAAGGATTCCAACAATTATTTTTGTATAGGCAAAGACATACCCTTTGAATGTTACCCAGTTTTGAAATGTAAAATGCAAAATTATATACCCATATTACATATCTTACAGTTTTAAAGTTTTAGCTAAAACATGACTTTGCAGATAAAAGCATGAATTGCCTTATCTCTAAGACAAATAAAATACATTACTAATAAAGTGCCACTGGATTAGCCAATACCATTTCAACTATTTCCTTTTTGAAGGAGGACAAAGGTACCTAATTGTATAGAACTAGTTGTTTTTACTAATACTAGTACAGTAAATTATATTAGTACTAGTGCTAGTACAGTAACTAGTGATTTGCATTACATTTTTCAGCAAGCACAAGAGTGCTTATTTAAGTAGACATTAACAATAAAGAATTCCTCTCAAAAGATCACAACAATCAGTTATTACAAGCTGCACAGTCATCACTGAACAGTTTAGTGTCCAGAATTTTAAAAAGTGTAGTCTTGAACTAAGATAAACCTATGAATAACAATACCAAGAAATAGCTTTAGGGACTTCATATAAATAAAAAACTCTTTCACTTGTAAAATAGGTTTCAACCTGTTCAAGGAGCAAAGGAGGAGTAGTGGTGAATGGTGAGGTTTGGCAACAAGTATAGCAGGTGGAAGCCTGATAGGCATTTGCTCTAAGATGCAACTTTTGCAAAAGGAAAAGGTGTTTTTTAGATGAATACAGCACTTTTCAGGCACTTGACCTCATGTGGTATTTAAATTATGTTCAGGTTTGATGGAAAAATATCAAATTATATATATTTATATACAAGCCACATTCTCACAGAACATCTGTGTTCTGTAAGCTAAATCCAAATGTTCCCTACTAAAATCAAATAATGATGCCATATAACAAATTCAGAAAGAAAAATATTGAATTTTTTCCATTTTAAAATTTTCCACAGTAAATTTTCTTACTTTTTTTCTTTGTTACCTATTTGCCTGAATGCTAGGAGGAAAAAAAAAAACACCTTGAAAACTATGAAATGTGACTAAATGCCATTAGAAAATTTTAAACTGTAGGTTAGTTCAATATAATGTAATGTTGATGGAAATATGCTGATAGCTTGCTCTTAGACTGCTTAAGAGACATTTAATGAGCAGTAAATTTGTTCCTAGTTCATATCATAGAATTCAATATGTAAACATTTTAATGTACCCAAAAGAGCAATGTGAATTTTCAGTTATCCCTAAATATGTCTGTGAACCCTACATCAGTATCTGGCTCTGAAACTTATCTTTGGGATTCATGCCAAAGGAATGCTTTCAGATACATCATTAAGGATAGGGTTCTAAGATAAGACTGTCAAGTTCTATTCTAAAATGAAGAAAATATGGCAAGATTCCGGTATACATGTTATCAGTGTTCCCATTTTCTTCTTCAATACTTAGCATATAGTTTAAGAATGTTGATATTGAGGATTTTTTTATTTGTATCTTTGTATTACAACTTGGGAAAATTTTGCAATATACTTTCAGGCAGTTAGCTTTAAAATAATGAAACCTTAGATCTTAGCACAAACAGCCCTGAGAACAATGCATTCATATTACAGCTCAACTAGAAATAATCTAATTGAGAAACTTGAAAGTACAAAAACAAACTCTGGAAAAGTTATAAATTAAAAAAAAGTTACCAACATCTGAGGCACTACCAGACTACAGTACTTTTAAAAGAGTTGGAAGGACTTCGTAAAAAGAACATACAAAGCTGTATGTGCAGATGCACACTCACATTGTGCTATAACGAAATATTGTGTCCCCCCTATTTTATAGCCTAAACATCTTATTGTAGCATCTTCTACTAAAGATAGTACGTTCTGGCTGCAGGAGAGTTTTGGTAATTGTTATAAAGCATTGGTACTGAATTTTGTACCATTAATGGAAACAGATTCAAGAGCTTATTAGCAACACTTTCAAGTGATTGACAGCCCTTGGAGGGGAGCAGAAGAGAAACATCATAGTTGTGTTTATGATGCAACTGCAAAGTTAAAGTAGCCATTATTTGATTTGTTTCAGAGGGTATACAGCTTTGTAGTAAGATATAACAAAATCTTCACAGTAGAAAGAAAATATGTTCTAGAAAGAAACAAAATATCCCACTAGTTAATATTGCATAAAAACTGGTGAAATGCTTGCAAAAAAAAAAAAAAAAAGGTATATCACTGTATAATCTATCAACATGACGGTCTACATTTTATACATGGTAACTTGTGATATTTAACATTTGCTACAAAAAGTACAATAATAGGAATCAACATTTAACATTACTGATGTCAAAAAAGAATGAAGTCACTTATGTTCTATGTTAAAAAATATTTCCCTGCTTCCTTTTAATATAATTTATAAAGCTTTACTAAATGAAATATTTTGTTCTAGAGAAACATGTATTGACTTATGTGAAAATAAACAGTCCAATATCTTTAAAATCTATACTTATATGTCAGGAGAGTATTTACACTTCATTATAGTACTTGAAATATATATGCATAAATAGCTTTTGCCATTCAAGGTACAAAGACAGATGCATTATTATATTTTATATATGCTTACCTCACAATTGAAAATATATTTATGTGAAGTTTCACAAGTTAGGAAAAAAAAGGACATGCAAATGCAGAATTAATACTAAACCAGAACACTAGTATGGTTAGCTGGGATTATATGAAAGACTAACAAGCAGCAGATTGATGATCTCGAATTCCTGCCAGAATTCCTTATAATGTCAATCAATAGCAAGTAAGATACATACTCCAAAGTACTAAAAATTTAGAGTAATATTTAATGAATACTTAAGATGGAATACAGAAAGGAATTTAGCCTAATTCCTAATTGTGCTTTACATGGGTAAAAGGTAAATTAAAGATGATTAAAACCTCAGCATTTCTTGTGCTTTAGAATTCCCTCCTTACAGTTCTCTTAAAGTAACTTGCTGCTTCTTCAAATGGGTTTGCTGAGGCTAATACAATATTTAAAAGTGCACAAATTAAGTAACTGAAACTGAGATCTTCTGTTCCTAAAGTTATTTCCAGTTCTGATTAGATCTGATTTGATCCAATCTAATATATACAATGTTGGAGCTGATTAAGTCAGTTGCAGCATTGTAAGCTTTCCTCTGGCTCATAGAAACAAAGACCTGTTAGAAATCAAGGCATGATGGGAGATACTTCATATAATCTGTCTTAAAAGAATGAAGGTATTACTCAAATAGTGATTTTGTTCTAAGTTTCATTCCACTATAATGATTGTTAATGAGTCAGATTTTCACAAATTGCGTGACAATGTCTGGCATTCTAGAAATAGGATACACGTGACCTAAAATACTAAATAAAAATATAGTTTTAATGCCTACCAGTAACTGAATTAAGTCATATAACCATCAGGAAAAAATATATACTTCTTAAAATAAGTTAAATAATAATCACATAAAGTAACTTTTAAAGTAACTTTTCTTCGATGATTCACTTTCACTTCACTTTAAAAGAGATGTACAGAAATGTAACAAGTGTTCCAAACAGCTTAAAGAAAGAATTTTCAGGTTTTGTTTGACAAGTCTTTTAATGTAAAAAAAAAAAAAAAATCTACTTAAGTGATTGGAAAGGAGTGACTACAATAAATACTAATATTTATTGAACATAATTGATAAAAAGTACTGCATAGTATCCTATAAAGCAGGTCACTCCTTTAAATACACACACAAAGATTAAAAGCAAGCAAAAAAACTGACTGCAAAGCCTCAAAAATCTATGGCTTTAACCAACCTTCTATGCCACTGTCCCTGTCTTTACAGCCTGACTTACCAATTGTCACCTAACATTTCAATGCCTCTCTGTCAACCACAAGCAGGTACTAAAACAACTATATATATAAGATTATATTAAATCTGCCAATAATTTGGCAAATAATAGTGTGATTGAGGTAATATAGGTGGCTGCATATGGCTACTAAGATAACTGACACTTTTTGATAGCATTTTTTTTAAGGATTTGTCCTTGCCAGGATGAAACTATGACAATGCCGATCAATAATTTTCTTATTCTATGATTTAAGTTTGAAATTAATGCAGAACAATTCAACTTAAATGTGGTACTTCACTACTATTAGATGCTACATTGTTTGATTTAAAACCCCGGTTTATCATTTAATTAAAATTCAGGAATGAGTTGCTCAAACAAATCACATCTGCTGAAGCTATTTTGTCTCTTGGACTCACAGAAAACCACAGGAATGTTATAGGAAAGACACCTACAAAATTAAAAAATGAATTATACATTTTGATTATTTTTTTAAATTACCAATTGCCTACAAATGAACTCAGCACAAGTCCAGAAACATTTAAAAAAGAAATGAGGTTGCTTATGAAGGCCATGGCTTTGGTGACAACTCAGAACCAAACTTTAGATCTGTAGTTGATCCAGACCTAAACAGTGTGCTCATGCCTGATGTTCCCATTTATTTACAGGGCTTTATGGCCACAGCGTATTCTTCACTCATTGCACACATGACAGATACCTAAAAGAGGAAAATGTAGTCAAAAAATTATTTAGAAGGCAATATTATATGTATATATCTTTAATTCACCATACACTAAATATTTATAGACATTTAAACATACTGCATGTGGAAAGAGGTATTCTAAGAACAGGTAATCTCCTTTATTTTTTATATTTTTCTAAAGAATCTCTCAAATTGTGGATTATAAGACAACTTCCAAGGAAAAGAAACAATAAGAACTATAAATACTTCAATACTTATTAAATATTATATTTCTGAAAGTTATATCAAAGAGAGAGTGAATCTCCTTCAATCTTTAGCACTCCCATATCATCCTTTGTCTTTAAGAATGTTTCAGAGGATTATCTTTAAAACAAATTTGGAGTTGACAGTGTCAGAGATCTTTACCTGTACATCTTCACCTGCATTATATTTTCCTTCTATTTCTTTGCCTAGTTCACCTTCTGGCAGCTTAAGATCCTCACGAACTTCACCAGTTTCTGTCAGCAGGGAAAGGTAACCATCCTGAATGCATATCAGCTATTAAGAGAAATTATACCATTTGCAATGAATGGTTTATATTCACTCCTTTATAATGTTTACATAGTAAATTGCAATCCACATTAATTTGTATCAGCATAAAGTAATACCCTAATATATTCTTGGTGCTTAAAAGGGCTAAACATACAGAAGTATAAAATACATACAGACAAAAAGTGTAAGTTCACCTTCCCTGCAACCCCCATCTCTCAAATCTCTACATTAAGTAAATAGATTAGGCTTCTTTATAGTACATCCCGAGAGATTGACATTTATACACACAATGCAAATATAATTTTTTAAAACATTAATGGGGTATATTATTTTTCAGCAAGTGTGTAGATAATAATGTCCGAGAAATCTCTAATTGGAAAATATGGGCCTACCTTAGTATGTTTAACTTTTTTTTAAAAAAAGATTTATTTATTTATGCATACAAGAGCTGGGGTACAGGCCAGAGATGCGGGGGGTGAGAAGATCCACCAGAGATAGAGTGCGGAACAGAACAGGCAGACTGACTGAAATACACTGCTGAGGGAAGCAGTGGCCGAGACAGGAGAGGTCTGCCTTGCCATGAGCATTTCTCCCTAGCCAGCTGGGGATCGAACTTGTGCTGCAGAGGCTATGGATTGCTTCATAGCATGGTGCTTAACCCCTTGCGCCACTAGGGAGGCCCTGTTTAACTATTTCTTAACTGCATAAACTAAGTGATTTAATCATTTCCTCATTAACAGGCATAAATTATTTCAGTTTCTTACCGTTACAAACAATACATCTTATAATTTGACTATGAACAGTTAAATGAAAAAAACTGATTCCAGCTCACTGTTAACAACACTATATACTTTTTAAACTACAAACATCAGTTTGCTGATGGCATTAACAAAGTAAGCCCAGTTATCAACCTATCCTGCAAAAAGGCAGTTTGCTATCATTGAATTTCTTTTAAGTATGAGGAAATAGCCAGGCTACATTCATTTATTCTGAAAGCATGCATGCTATCAAAATGCCCAGAACTCTAAAGTTTTATAAAAAGCAGTCATCCAGTTACCAGATGCTAACATTAACATGCGCACAAGGAAGCAAAGATATAGTCCTTGTCCCCACCCCCACCAAACTATGGCGATCTATCACCCGGATTCCAGAGAGTAGAGTTCTCAGGTCTCTTGTTTCTGGTGCTACCAAATCTGACTGTGGCTTTTCACAGAAACCCCATTTAGCCACAGGAGATTTTAGTTTCTGCACATGTCTAAAATCTTGAAAATGAAAAATACAAAGTAACAACAAATAGCCTTAATTAATCTTTCGTTGTTCAAACATTTGTGAAGTGGTTGGTAGAGGAACGGAGATTAAGGAAGCTGAGGTAGAAGGGTAATTTTTTAACAATTAACCACAGGTTTACAAGCCAGATCTTTCTGATTTCTGCTTTCTTAGCAATTCCTACAAGTGGAATTTGTCTATTATCAAGAGTTAAAGATTCCCAGTGCCCTTAGTGACTACAATATAAAAGCAGAATATTACTTGTTTTGGCATTTAGTTCTATAATGGTGATATTTATTTTTTAAGAGTTGGAATTCATAAAATAAGATTATGGTTTATAATATAAATCATTTCAAATTAAAAATGTATAAGTATATTATAAAACAGCTAGTAAACAATGAATTTATAAAAATTAAACATCTTATTAAAATACATTACCATAAAAAATTTCAAAAATAAAGCCAAGTTACAGAGAGAGAGAGAGAGAGAGAGAGAAATAGTGACAGATACACCGCCTGTGACATGGTAGAGCAGAGAACCTACAGATTAGGGTCAAACAAGTTCAGTCTGCAGAGAATACTTTATTAAGGTCCTGATTTAAACAACTGTAAGACAAAGACAATAACCATCACATCTTAAAAAAACAAAAAGAGAGGAAAATGCTAAAATCTCATCTCTGGATTTACAGAATGCTTCATTCCTGTCAGTATCTCACATTACATCATTTCTAACTAAAAACTTCATTTGAGGCAAAATAAGGCAACAGGACAGCTTGCCTGTGTGGACTGGCCAAGTGGACTCATCTTTGCCTGTGGGCTTAGGGTGCTGTTTTATAGGTTACATTTCAATGCATGGTACTATTTCTTCCACGGTAGGATACACAGATTTCGGAAAGAGAGGGGCTTGTCTCATAATTATCGTTCACGATAGAAGTCCCCCGTACTACCTCAAAGTAGAATGTTCCTATTTGGTGTAACTTATTATAATACAAATGTTATTACAACAATTTGTATGGAAAAAATTTTGAGCATTCGTAGATTCAAAAAATAATCTGCCCAATCATACCAAATAGGAACATTTTACTTTTGGATAGCAGGGGAAACCTGTTCTGTAACAAAATATATGATTCTTGTCTTTGCAATACTCCAGTATTCTGTTCTAGAGGTTTCCTGTTCCCAAAGAAAGAAAGCTTCTACCAGGAGATGCAGAAATTCCACAGAACAGGCAGTAATCGTAAAAAGATTAAGCTCAAACTATTCATAGCATCATTATTTTCTTTGTTCATTTTAAGTTATAATACCAAAATTCAACTCACATATTGCAGTACTGAAAAAGTTATACCATGTATTTGAAGAAAATACTCAGATTTAATAATCACAGTTTTAGAAATTCACCAATAACCCAGAGATTCACACCATATTCTTTAATGTGTAATTTGTTTTCCTTCTGAAAAATGGTCTTTAAATGATAGGACTTTTTTTTAAAATTTTATTTTTATATTCCCCATACAATTGCAACCCCCTTATTTTGACCCCAATCCCTCCTTTCCCCGCCCCCCACACCCTATAGTGTGTCTCTGGTTCATAGCTGTTTGTTGATTTTGATTTTTTCTTTCTTGTAGTTGTTCTTTTTCCTGGTCCCTTATTTAGTTTTTCTAGATTCCTGCTATGAGTGAGACCATCCGGTAAATAATAGGACTTTAATGAATGCCAAAAAGGCATTTAACTTGTGGTGTGGTATACAGGAATGCAGCAATTTTTAAAGAAATATTATTTAAGAGAGTACCAAATCTGAACAAGTTTCTGTTTTTGGTATGTAGTTTGGGGATTTAAGTTTGGGGATTCCCAAAGATGTCTGGATGTAGTTGTATTTTACACCATGACTGAGCCCCAGACAACCATAACAACTTTTGGGAGAAGTAATGAAAATTAGCAATTCTAATCCAATTTTTATGTTGGAATGTTAGTCAAAAGACAATTTTAAAAAAGGTTTTATTTCAGGAATTGTTCAGAAGACAATTTTTCTTTCAATCTGAACTTACTGAAATACATAAAATGAAAATTGGAAAATTAATGTTCTTTCCTAGACAAAGATTTATTTTTTATTTACTATAGTGAACAGTTATACATTTTGCTTTAGCTGACTGCCAAACTGGCACTTGAGTATTCAGCATATCCAAAGAACTACATGTACTCTTCTGAAAAGCAGGAATTTAATCAAGGCACTCAGATCAGAAAGTGAAGACCAACATACCACAATAAATATAACTGGGAAAGATCAAAGAACTGTTTTGTTTTTTTTTTTAAATGGATAAAAATAAGTACTCTATGGTGACTTGATAACAAAGGGATGTGATATTCAAGGGACTATTCTATCCCTATTTTCTAAATAAAGGAAGGAAGGAGAGAGGTTAAGTAACTTGACAACAGAGGTCACACATACAGTAAGTGCCAAAGTGAGGATTTGGATGCAGACTATAAACTTGAGTCATTCTCTTATCTACTCTTTTTTTTTAAAGGTTTATTTATTTATTTATTTATACAAGACTGGGTACTGTCAGAAGTGCAGGAGGGTGTGAGAATTCACCAGAGACAGAGCGGGGAGCAGAGCAGGCAGAAGGACCGAAGTTCACTGCTGAGGGGAGCAGCGGGCGGCAGGAGAGGTCTGCGCACCATGTGGGACCCTCCTCATTGGCCGGGGAGCAGTCATGGATCGAACCGGCACCGCAGAGCCTGCGGGCAACCCAGCACTCAACCACTGCGCCACCGGGGAGGCCCTCTCTTATCTACTCTTTAGTGTAGACTACATACCAAAGACTAGGGCTAGGGAGAGCAAGTGAGGGACTTATCGGGTACAAAATTTAAGAAGGCACCCAATAAATTCTCAGGGATTAGATAAATATTTTAATAAATTAGAATTAGTACAAAACTTCCATGACAAAATATCAAAAGTTTATGTAAAGATAGGATCAGAATTTCTTTCTTTTTTTTTTTTTTTTTTTAAAGATTTATTTGTTTATGCATACAAGAACTGGGAGGTACAGGCCAGAGGTGTGGGGGTGGGGGTGGGAGAGGATTCACCAGAGACAGAATGGTGAACAGAACAGGCAGATTGACTGAAATACACTGCTAAGGGGAGCAGCGGGTGAGACAGGAGAGGTCTGCTGTGCCATGTGGGTAGCTCCCTGGCCAGGGATCGTACTTGTGCTGCAGGGGCTGCAGATAGCTTCATAAGTTGCATCTTAACCCCTTGCGCCATCAGGGAGGCCCAGGATCAGAATTTCTGATCTGATTTTTTCCTTTTGCCTCAGGTCCCTATGTGGCTTGACCTTGTTACTGGTCCTGTCTATTTAAAATTTTGTGCTCAAGGGAAGGGCTTCCGTCACCTTATTCCTTTCACCTTAGTTCAGACCCTATTATATTGTAAAATAAAACACAAACCAAATTTTTCCTTTATGTTAAATCCTGAGTTTCAATCAATAATTGATTAATTTGGTCATAACAGTAATTGTGTAAACTACTGACACCACTTTTTCTGAAATACTCAAAGGCAAAACACACTCTATTGAGTGAATATTAATGAATGTAATGAATTTTGAATATTCAAAGCATTTACATTTTAGGGCTAACATGCAAAATCAATTTTTGGCAAAAAGAAATTCTATACTTAGTTTTAGTCTATGGTGCTATCTATACCACACTGAATAATCATGTATGCATTAACAGATGTTTATTGAGCACCCACTATGTGCCACATCTAAAATTAGTAATCCAAGAATGGATTAATTAGGCGAAATCTTTATACTGGAAAAGAGGGAGCGGAAAAGAATTACTTTTTGGTTCATATCTTTTTATAAAGTAATTAGGGGACCCATTTTCTAATTTAATCATCACATGATCCCTCCTTGGTAGACAGGAAGTTAGGCTCAGAGACGTTCTGTTATTTATTCAAGGTTCATTCAGCTAGAAAGTGACAGAACTAGATCCAAGTCTAGGACAGCCTGACTAAAAAAAATCTGCTATTGTTATTGTTATACTAAGACATTCAAATTTCTAGAAAGATTACAAAGCTTATTCTGAGAAATGGAAGGTGAAATTATAAAACTTCACTAGTTTAAAAATGTAAAAATAGGTTTACATGTGGAAAAGTAAAAGAAAATCATTGAATAACTATAGTTGATAGTAATATTCTTTAAAGATTATACAATAAAAACAAGTATAAAAATCAGTTTAAATTGGATAAAACAAATCTCACATTTTTATTTTTCACTGTGTAAAATAAACATTAAAAAGTTCTGTATATGGTATGCTTGTTTTAAAAAAGGAAGACTTTTGGGAATCCCCTGGTGGCGCAGCGGTTGAGCACTGGGCCGAGAAGCTGCCCGCAGCCTCTGCAGCACTGGTTCAATCCCCGGCCGCCAGTGAGGGTCCCACATGGCGCGACAGACCTCTCCTGCCGTGCCCTCTGCTCCCCTCAGCAGTGTATTTCGTCAGTTTGCCTGTTCTGTTCCCCGCTGTGTCTCTAGTGAATTCTTTACCCTCCCGCACTTCTGACTGTACCCAGTGCTTATATAAATAAATAAATAAAATTAAAAAAAAAAAAAAGGCAGACTTTTAAGAATGGCTTTAGTTATGATTAATCTAAGCTCCCACATTCTGTGAGGCCGATGGTTACCAGCAGTACTGCAAACAACAAAATGCTATCATTAAACATGACCAATCCCAATGTACAACTTCAACTACAAATTTAAATTTACATAGTAAAACTTGAAATTTAACAAAGGGTCACAGCGTGGTCAATGGATATATAAAACAATTACACAATTTTTATATTTTCTATACCATATTCAGTAAACATGTGACTTATCCTTTATATTCATGATTTTTCACTTATTTCCCTACTCAAGAATACCAAGATATGCCCTACATTCAATTCAGGAACTTGGTGGGTAGAGGCCATGAATTCCACTAATATCTTGAAAGTGTTAGGTCTGATAAGTGAAAAGAAGTTAAATATATGGGAGGGATCATCTAAATTTGAATTATTTTACAACAAAGAGAATAGTAATTCCACTAAATATTAGACATTCAGTCACAATATGCAGTGTGAGAACTAATACTTGGTCTGAAAAACAAAAGTTTAACTTTTTTAAAATGCAAGAATGCTGGCAGCTAAATCTCCGCACTATGAAGCTATCCGCATCCACTGCAGCACTAGTTCAATCCCCCGCCAGAAAGCTAACTCACGTGGAGCAGCAGACCTCTCCTGTCTCACCCGATGCTCCCCTCAGCAGTGTATTTCAGTCAATCCATGTGTTCTGTTCCCTACTCTGTCTCCACTGAATCCTCTCACACACACCCCTACCTCTGGCCTGTACCCCAGTTCTTATATGCATAAATAAATCTTTAAAATAAATTAAAATGCAAGATTGCTAAAAACTACCTACCAATAATCCTAAGTAATGTACAAGTATTAAAAATCACTATTTCTCCAATATCTAAGCTAAATGGTGCCTAAAAATTGGTCAGAAAAACCTATGACACCACTGGGTTATGTTAGGTTATAACTGACAGTAAGTAGTACTTGCCCTTTTTAAATAACAGTAAGGAAATTTGTACTTACTTGATAATCATTCCTTTTAATATTTGGAACATCCATGTTGTGAGTAGAAGGACAAATATCTTCATATTTTTTGCCAGTGAAAATATCAATTCCAACAAGGTGAACCTAACAGAGGAGAACAGGAAACCTGTTTAATCTTTGCCAAGTATATCACTCATTACATACACAATACCAACACTGATCATGACAGACTCCTCCTTCCAAGGTCATCTAATTTTATTCTTTAAAAAAAAAAAAAAAAAGTAGTGATCACAAAATTGGGAAGCAGTGAACAACCAAACCCTATCACGACAGAATTCAGTTATAAGAGTGTATAAGAAAAACGAAGTTAGGTTCCTTAGAACAGGCTTTCTCACCGCAAACTGAGTAGATCTTTGAGGTCACATCCAGGAAAGTTTTAATTCCCAGTTAGTGAAACAGGGCCCAAGAAGAATAAGATACTTTTCGATACTCAAAGGCATACCTGATGGCACAGTAATTGCGGGAAGAAAAAAAAAAAAACAAAAACCCACCGGTTCATCACAAAACTAAGAATAGAAAACACACGCTCTGTAATGCAATACAAAAGATCAAAATCCCAAGGCAAAGATAGGCTTGAGAGGGCAAATACCTTGGCGTGCCCGTGCTTCCCAGTTTTGGAAGTTGACATCTCCACTATTTTGCACGGTCGTCCTTTGAGCACCACGAAGCCGTTTTTGCGCAGGGCCGAGCACTGCATCGGGTAAGTGCTGGACGCCCCGGCATCCCCAGTCGTGAAATCAATTTCATCCGCCATGGTGGGCTGGGGAGATGGTCGTCTTCCCGAGGGAACTGCGGCGAAAGTTTGTGATTTTTGTTCTGCAGGCAGCGGGCATGCCAGCAGGCGCAGAACCCGGCTCCTCGCGGGCAGGGTCCGCGCCCAGCATCCCGGATCTGCTACCCTGGCATCGCCGAGCGCCCACCCGGGACGAGCCGGGCACCCTCTCCCCGGGCTCTGCAAACTTTTCCCTCCGCGGCTGGGGAGTGGGGAGCAGAGCGCCAAGGAACTCGGGGGGCCGGAGGGGCACCCGCCCCGGGCGCGCCTCCTCCCGCCGCGGGCAGAGCCGGCGCCTTCCCGCGCCGCCGCCCTCCCGGGCGCCCGGCTCCTCGCTGGGGGGCCCCGCCAGGCCGCACGTCCCCGCCGAGGCTGGGGGGCAGCCGCAGCCGGCCCGCTGCCCGGCCTCGGGCGGCGGCGCGCGCCCCGCGCCCGTCGGCCCGGCCCTCGCGCCCCGCCCGCTCCGCATCCCCGGCCGGCCCGGCCCGCGCGGCCCGGGTCCCGGCGGGCCCCGCGCTCGCCCCGTCCCCATCCACCCCCGCCGCCCTCGGGCCCGGGCCCCGCCGCCGGCCCCGCCCCGGCCCGGCCCCGCCCCCCTCGCCGCGCCCCGGTCTGCACCTCTCGGGGGGGCCGCTGTCGCCTGCGCACCGGCGCGGGTCCCCTCCGGCGGTGGCGGCCGCGGCAGGTCCCGGAGACGGGGCGGGGCCGCCACGCTTTCCACACCCGCTCGCCCCGCCCCTTCCCGCCCCCGCCGCGGCCCTACTTCCGGGATAGGCCCCGGGGCGCCCCGGGCGCCGCCTTCCCCGGCTGCCATTGGCTGCCGGCTTCCCGAGGCCCCGCCCAGTCACGTGAAGCGCGCCCTGGCAACCCCACGTGCTGCGGATTAGGGCACTTCCGGCGTGAAGCGCACTTTCTGGGCAACGGTTGCCGAGGGCAAGGCCGCCGGCGAGGAGACTTGCTCCCCCGAACGCCTGGCTTCGTGGCGGTCAAGTCCCCGTCGACGTTCCGGCGAAGCAGGGCGCGCGCCGGAGGCCGCGGACCTGAGGTGCGTGTAGCTGTCACGTGACTGCCGTTGGGCTTCGCGACGCGCGAAGCGTCCCCGAGGGCGGCGGAGGGAACTTTGAGTGTGAATTTCAGACCAGCTGGCGGCCCTTCTCAGGGTTCAAACCCTCCCTGATCCTTGTGGTGCAGCTCGATCGCAGTCATTTACTGGGTCCCCGCTGAGGGTGACGCGGTGGGGCTGGGGGCACAGAGACACCCCGGCCACCCCACGGCAGGCAGCGACTGCCCGCGGGTGCTGTGTCGGTCAGGAACACATCGAGGGTGGAAACTTTTTTTTTTTAAAGGATATATTTAGTTATGCATACAAGAGCTGGGGTACAGGCCAAAGGTGTGGGGGTGAGAGGATTCACCAGAGAGAGTGGGGAACAGAACAGGCAGATTGACCAATGTATACTGCTGAGGGGAGCAGTGGGCGAGAGAGGAGAGGTCTGCCTCGCCATGTGGGTAGCTCCCTGGCGACTGGGGATGGAACTCGTGCTGCAGAGGCTACCGATTGCTTCATAGTGCGGTCCTTAACCTCTTGCGCCACCAGGGAGGCCCCAGGGGTGGAAATGCTTGAGACATCCGCCAAGTGAAAAAGCAGCAGTGCCATGACCTAGCCCACTCTTCACGCCCCAGCCTGCAGTGGAGGGAGGGAGCCTGATTCTTACCACATCCGTCTGATCCAGATAAGTGTCGTGCCAAACTCAGCCTTCTTTCCTCTTGGCATTGGCATTCATTTGAGGTTTTTTTTTTTTTAATAGAGGCATGTTTTATTTATTTATTTATTTGTTTGTTTGTTTGTTTTGTTTATACATGCACTGGGTACAGTCAGAAGCGCGGGAGGGTGAGAGAATTCACCAGAGCCAGAGCGGGGAGCAGAGCAGGCAGAAGGACCGAAGTACACTGCTGAGGGGAGCAGCGGGCGGCAGGAGAGGTCTGCGCGCCATGTGGGACCCTCCTCCGGTGGCCGGGGAGCAGCCGGGGATCGAACCGGCGCCGCAGAGGCCGCGGGCAGCTTCGCAACCCAGCGCTCAACCGCTGCGCCACCGGGGAGGCCCTCATTTGAGTTTTGATGTCTGTCCATACCCCATTCGAGCTGTGGGGTTGTCTTCAAAATAGATCTGGAGTCAATAGAGATTTTAATAGGATTAAGGACTCTTAAGAGAGATCCTCCCCTTTTCATAGTTCTAGTTCACAACCCACTACTTTCTTCTACCATGGAGCTGTGAACTAGCAAATGACTTTCCTCGCTACTCCACAAGTTATGTGATCCTGTGATTTTTGGATTGCTGTCTCCTGAAAAGTCCCATTGTTGTGGTTCTACAATCTTCATGATAATCAAGTGAACTTCCCCAAACTGGGTTTAGCATCTGATTAATTTATGAAGGAAGCAGGTTAGAACCCTGGTCCATGAGTCCCCTCTGCATAAACATTTAAAGAATGGTTATGTGAGCAGGAAGTGCTTTACATTTTTTATGTGCATTTAATTTGATTTAGTGTTTTTAAACCTCGAGTATTAAGTTATAATTTACCCTTTTGTACAAGTTTGGAGAAACATGAGCAGTTATGTAACTACCATTGTAATCAGGATACAGAGTATGTCCCTTATTCCAAAAATTTCCTCTCTTCACACCCAACCTCTGGCAACCGTTAAACACTACTCTTTATCTACATTTTTATTTTTGGGAAAAGACAGAGAAAAGTTGGACCTCCCTGGTGGCGCAAGGGATTAAGACACAACCTATGATGCTGTCCGCAGCCACTGCAGCACTAGTTTGATCCGCAGCCAGGGAGCTGCCCACATGGCACAGCAGACTTCTGACTCGCCCACTGCTCCTCTCAGCAGTGTGTTTCAGTACATCTGCCTGTTCTGCTCTCCACTCTGTCTCTGGTGGGTCCTCTCACCCCCTACATCTCTGGCCAGTTCTTGTGTGCATAAATAAATAAATCTTTTAAAAAAAAGACAGAGAAAAGTTAAATGATTTGCCTCTTAACATACAACGACCATGTCAGAGAACCAATGTTGAACTCTAAGCAGTCTGACTTCACAGTCACTGTTTTATCTACCCCTGTATACTACATTTGCATGAATTTGGAATCAGATGATCCAGCTTCATTCACGTGGCAAATAAAGTAAATTCTAGTGAAATCGTTAGAACACCATATTAGTAAATACTGAACCACTGCTCCTAGACAAAATAAACAGGTACCTGCCAGACTCTGGTCACAACATTTATGTCGGTTGACCTCTATATGATCATATCTTATGAATGTCTCTTTTGAAAGACACCTTACTTAATATGTATTAGCTCACTAAAATTTAACTCATAGCCAACAGCATTGTAATTCATGCCCAAAGGAAGCTCATCAAACACATGTATTTTCTCTGTAAGGCATATCACATCTTATTGTGCTTGGAAATATGAGCTAGCACTTCAGCATTATTGGGGTTCAGTTTAAGCAGCTAAATCACCAACAAAAGTCACAAAAATGTAAAAATGTGCCACTTGATTACAGTTTAACAGCTGAAACAAGGAGGCAGAGCATCATTTTGTTTGACCTCAGCTAGGAAAGTTTGTATTAGATGACTCAAATCTTTCGCTGTTCTGTGCATGTCCACAGGTGACCAGGAAAGCACCATAAATATTGATTTTGGGGTTATAAGTAAATTTTGGTGAGTAGACAAATTCATAAGCATGAAATTTGTGAGTAACAATTGATTACTTTTATTTTGGCATCCTTAAAGCCAAGAATTATCATGTTGACCAAGACAGCCCTTGTTCATTAGATGCTTACAGTCTAGTGCAGAAGATAATTTAGTAATTTTAAAGATATAATAAATGCTTCCAAAGACACAATGCAAAAGGGGTCCCTCATGTAGTCTAGATGTTGTGCAATTGAAATATGCCATCATATAATTTTGAGTCTTCTTGTTGCCACATAAAAGCAAAAAAAGTGAAGTTAATGTCAATAGTATAGTTTCTCGAACCCAGTATAGTCAAGGTATTTTACATGCAATACAGAAATTATTAAAAGATTTTAATTTTTTTATACTTAGCCTTCAATATCTGTTGTGTATTTCACATGTAATGTACATCTCAGTTCAGACTAGTCACATTCCAAGTGTTCAGTGAACTGGTGATGACTGGTGGTGGCTATCATTTTGTACATCACAGGTCAGAAAGACTGTACGACTACCTCAAATTAGGGTTGTTGTCCTAATTTGAGATCTGAAAAAAAAGAGAATCAAGCAATAAGGACAGGTTTGGAAAAAGCATTTTAGGCAAAGAGGTTGGGGGGACAAATACCTATAGGTAACAGAATTGTGGCATCATTCTGCAATAAAAGTCATCTCATGTGATTGGTGTGTGCTATAAAGTGATGGCTGTAGGTGGAGTTTCTCACAAGGGCAACAGAGAAACATTGAAACAGTACATTTACAAAAATGACAAGAACTTTTATTTTGAAAGACCGTTTGGGTTGTGATATACAGAATTTTGTAGGGGAAATACTGGAAGAAGGAAACAATTAAAAAGAAATATTTGTGTTGGTAAACAAAGGTTGGGCTGGGAGAACATAAAGACTAAACCAAGAGGATTGTAAGGGAAAATGGAAAGACTCATAATTATTTGAGTGTTGGGGATCAAAATGGTAAGGGTTGACAGAGGGTAAAATTAAGACTCGCTGGTTTGTAGTGTTAAAACCTAAGAGCTGGTGGCAATTTTCTTAGAGATAGGAAATATAGGAGAAAAAACAAATTTCCAGGCAAAGTCGAGTCCACTTTTGGGCAGATCAAATTTATGGTTCCTGTGGAGGGAGAGCTATATATCTAAAATAGATATACACATTTGTGAATCATCTATATATAGATGGTTATTAAAGCGATGCAAGTGGATGAAGTATCTTTAGGTAAGTAGGTGTAGTGAAACAAGAAGAGAGCTTAGCACAGGACTTTGTCACATTTAAAGACTATCTGGAGAAAGAGGAAAATGAGAGAGGGAGAATTACTTAATTTATGGTGTTTTTTTTTGTTGTTGTTGTTGTTACAAGACTAGAAACCAGTTCCTACCACTTTAAGCAAAGAGCAAGCTGATCATAAACTTTAGAGTTTCTATTTTTCTATGGCGGTAACCATTATATAGTCTCATCTGATGCCATTAGAATGAACAAACTATAAGTGTCAGATGAGATTGTTCAAGCGTCTAAGTTCTGGAAGATAGAATTCCAAGTGCTCTTTCATTTCTTGCCTACCCCTTGACAAGACAACTTGTTCCAGCAGTCCTATTTTTTCCTGTATATTATGCCATGAAATCTTGGTCATGTCTGTTTCCTCTAAAATGGAATGGACCTGGATTCAGAATAGTATTAACTAAATCAGAAAGTTGTCTCACATAAAAAAAAAAAAAAAAAAAGAAAGTTGTCTCACATAGTAAAAAATTGACATCTGGGAAGTCATTTATTAAATGGAACATGGTAGCCACTACTGAGAAACTGCAATACCTGTCTCTTTTAAAAGGGGTTAGGAATCTTTGAGCTGGGCCAACAAGCTTTAAATTGGTCCTAAGCAATTGTTTTAAGAAGCGATCAAGTAGGGCCTCCCCGGTGGCGCAGCGGTTGAGCGCTGGGTTGCGAA